AGAAAAGAGAAGCTTTCTCATCATTACTAGATGAATCATTCCTTATCTTCTGTAGAATAGGAAGGGACACTTCTTCCACTGACAGTATAAACTCTAACAATTGAAGTGACTCGAACATTGAGTAAACACAACTACTAGGAATATCTCCCTCATAACCAGACACCAAGGATCTTCCTTCCCACCAAAAACTATGATACTTCTTATATAACTCCAGCTTCTCTCCCTCACTGAATAAAAGTTCCTTTCTCAATATTTTATCATTTCCATGATAGTCAATACATGCTGTGTAAATAGATTCTGCTGTTGGTGATTGTGTCCACTGATCCTTCTCTATACAATATATCAATCAGTTAATGATTTAATTACTAACATATCACATACTCTCAATATTTCCCTTTTGAATCATCAGCAGTTGTACACTAGTTATTGATATATTTTCTTGTAGTAACTCAATCTCTTTCTTATACTCCACTAATGCCTCCTCTCTTCCTGTCATGAGGTAGTATAGACAGATTATACCAGTAGACTCAGTACCTGCTTTCATTAGGAGAGAGGTTCGGAAATACTGAGTCTCTGATTTCTTTGATTTGAATATTTTATTTATCAACTTCCTTCTAGTCAGTAGCTTCACTTTCAGTTTAGACTCTACAGTAATGACACAATGAGAATTTTAATTTATAAGATAATTGTACTGATTGTTCAAATGATTATCAACTCCACATTACTTTAATACATGCTTTAAGTTAGTACTATACCTGGTGTCTCTAGTCTCCTTTCAATATACTCTATACAAGTAAAAATACATTAATAGAATATCTTCATCATTCACTAACTATACCTTTTCTTTCTTTGATGATATTCAGTTGTTTATCTTGTTCAAATTTTGATCCTATACCATTAGTATAAGTAACATCAGTAATTGAGTAATAGATCAACTATCACACCTTCTTTGTAATCAAGTAAAGTCCTCAGTTCTTGTTCCTCTCCATCAGCTAGTTTAATCTCCTCTGCAACACACTCATTATTCATTACCTATAATCAGTACATAATATTAAACAAGGTCTCATACAGTTACAGTATCTTATACTTTGTATCTGATCCTTTTATCATAGACAGTGTAG